GCCGCCCCGCTTGGCTGGCTTAGCAGCACTACCGCACTCGCTAGATTCGATAGATAGACCATCGCTCAGCAGCAGTAGGTTGAAGAAGTCATTGTCATTGTCATTGGCCCGACAGTGGCAACTAGTAACTAGAGGAGTTTGCAATCACGAGTTGCAGGTCACAATATTTAGTTGGCCTGGGCCTAGAGTCAGAGTCTCCGATCTGATTTGTCCTAACGTACAAACATATTTTTTTGGAATGTGCTGGGCTCAAGTTGAAAGGCCTACCAGCCTGACCTAGGGCCTAGCAGCGCTCTACGATCTTTGCCTGGTGGCTTTGCTTTGCAGTTGTTGCTATGAAGCGACCCAGATCAGAGGGCGGTGAGGAAGAATCAGACGGTGAGTGGGACCCCTACCCCCAGGACAGCGAAGCTGAAATTGTTGGACCGGTTTCCAGTTCTGATTCTGAGCCTTGCCTCAGTGAGGGCGAGCGCCTAGAAGACACCGCAGTTGTTGGAGCAGGGCAACCACCGCAAACTGATCCTGCATCGCCAAACCAGGCTGAAATTTCTGAGGCCGAGAGCGGTGCGACGTTAGTTTTGGGAGGTGGCAGGCTCAAAGATCTTGTGGCCAACACCAACAATGTTGGCCGTCCTGGCAGCCTCCCAGGCGCTTGCAGTTTGAGCATCTTTGAAGAGTCTCCAACAGAGGCTGGTCTGATAGATGCCACAGGGTCACACCTGAGCGGCTCCACCGAAGATCATGTACCAGTACCACGAGAGAACACCTCAGAGAAGGGCAAGGGCCATGGCGATGGAGGTCCTGTGGGGCAATTCGGGTTGAAGCCACCTGTGATGGAGAAGACAGACGAAGGGTACAAGCCACTCGCAGCTTGGAGAGATCCATTTCTGGAGTATTTCAATCCCCTGTTTGAGCATTGCGAATGGAATCGGTGCATTCGACTTGGTACATGCTGCAGTGGCTCTGGCTCTCCACGGCTTGGCTTGAAGGCCATTGGACTTCCAGTGACCGAAACTGTCAGTGTGGATCCAAGTCCAGCTTCTTTCAAAGCAGTGCAATCACTGGGCCAACTTCCAGATCATCATCTACAGCTGGCAAGTGAGCTTCTTCTTGGTGAAGGAATGTGCAGTGTCCACAAAGGGCACTGTCGTATTTCACCGCTCCCAGACGATATTTGGGTCTGTGGCTTTCCCTGCGCGCCTTTCTCTACTCAAAGACCTGACCGGTACCAAGGTGGACAATGGAAAACCCACATTCAAACGGAGGTTATGTATGAGGTGGCGAAGTGTCTGGCAAAGCACCAGCCAGCATTGGCTGTGCTGGAGAATGTGCCTGGATTTGTGAGAGAGGGAAAGATGAGGCCGGCGTTCGCAGAAACAACCGTCGAAACTCGAAGTGTTTGTTAGTTAGTTAGTTTATAATTATAGTTCATTCGATATATATATTACCTGACTTCTAGCATTCTAGCCGTAGCCTAGGCCGCCTAGGCCTAGCTTCAACTGGATGGATGTGATTCCGAGGAAAGTTTTGGTCCTTTTGGTGACCTTCATTCCAGATTTGAGATTTACATGGTAACATGGTAAGACTGTAAGACATTGTACTGACCTTCACTCCAGATTTGACTAGTGACTAGTGACTATGTCTAAGTCTAAGTAGTAGACTTGACTCGACTAGACTTGGACTTGGACCTTGGACTCAGACTTGACTCAGACTACTGTAGACACATCAATATTGAGACTCACGAGTCAAGGCACTGAAGGCATTGATCGATGACAGACACGCTATGTCGCTACGCGCACATGTCGCATACCCTGTCGTATGTCGTCATGTCTGACGTCGCATATATATATATATGTGAGGGGGCGTTTAACATGTTAGCGGCTGGCTGTTTAACCACAGCCTAAGTCTAAGTCACAGTACATGTGTCTAGGCCTCTAAGAGTCTATGTCACCGTCTAAGCCAAACCTAAGCCTAAGCCAAGTCTAAGTCTGAGTCTAAATTCTTAATAATGGTTCTATGTCGGTTATATGTTTGCTCATTTGTCGGAGTCAACCAGTTTTGGTTTGGTAGTTTGGTTCGAGTTAGAGATTCAGTTGCAAACATTCAATCATGGAGGCACAGAATCTCGAGAACCATTTTTTGTTTGCTTGTATTAGTATTTCTCTCGCAATGTCATTGGCAATGTGCCACGTGCAGGAATGCTGAGAACAGAAGCACTAGCATCTGGGACTCGCAACATTTGTCTGACAGCCCACTCGACTCTTTGCTTGCAGAGATCAATCGAGGGAAGACACCTGAGACTCGGCAATACTTTCACCACCTCGCAAGGATCGACTCGCAAATCTTCTTGGACACCCCACGTGATCGGGTGTACATCTTGCTGGTTCACGCAGATTTGGGGGCGGCAGTGATGGACAGGGCTGTGGAGATTTTGAACAAGTTCCTGTTGCAGAGCACAACGCATCCAGTGGTCACACCTTGGCAAGATCTGCTTCTACCAGAGACTTCACCATTCCTGGCCAAGAAGCTTTCTGACCTTCAGGCTGGCCCAGTGGCCCAGTGAAATTCTCACAGTCTCATATTAAGCGCGCAACTAAGCAGACTAAGCAGTAGTATGTCAGACATGTGGTAGACTGGTAGACTGCAGACACACATAGATACTGAGCAGGTAGGCAATGTGAGCGCACCGTGGTGGGTTTCCATGGCACATGGCACATAAGTCTGTTTGTTTTGATGCTCAAGGTTTTGGGCAGACCGCGCAGGAGTTTGAGACTTTCAAGACTGGACAGCATGACTTGACTCTGACTCTGCAGACCTTAGACTCCTTAGACTTAGACTTAGAGACTTAGACACTGGCACTGGGCCCCATCTCTAGACTCCAGACTCTAACTGACTAGGCCCCAGGCCCCAGTATCACTCAGGAAGTTTGTCAGTAGTTGCCCAGTCATTATCCAATTACCTTCTTTCAGGCCTAGCAGACCTAGCACTTAGCAGAGCTACAATCACTTGATTCACTTGATGGTACCGTGTAACTACTTGGTATTTGCTTGCGCATTCTCCAACAAGAGCCATAGCCATAGCCGCCTGCCACTTCCATAACAATGGCCCTACGACGCTCCAATGCCTTTGTTATGGATGATGATGAGACTTCCAGCAGTGAGTGGGAGATGCTCGATTCTCCGTCGCCACGGCCTAGCAGACTGAGAACAAGGTCTCGGAGCCGAAGTCGACACTTCCGACATGTAGAGTCAGGGCGGGCCAATGATCAGATTCACCGGCTGAATGTTGGCACATCAAACAATGAGTTTCATGGACCTTGTCATCAGCGTTTGCCATTGAGCATTACTGTCAATGGCGGGCACGCAGGAGGGCGACAGCTAATCACCATCAACCCATCTCACCAGACTCGCATTGGCATTGACGTGGTCATTGTGACTAGCGGAACAGGTGTGGATGGAAATGCCAGCGAATCACATAGGCATATCTCGCATTCGCATTCCCCTTCTTCCTCACCTTCAGTGGCGAATCCAGTGGCTCCAGCCTGGGCCTTGACTTCGACTCCATGCTCCACCTTGCAGCATCAAATGACTATGACCAGGGCTACTAGAGTTACTGGAGTTACTAGAGGTGGCAGAGATGGTAGCGCCGCTTGAGCGCTTCAGCAAGATGGAAATAGTTTCTTGTGGCATCCCACAGGCAACTAGCTAGCTCCAGTTACTAGTTCCGGCCGGTTCAATTGCTAGTGAGCTAGTAAAGTTAATTAGTTCATCGCTACCCATGACTCAGTGCGTCGTTGTGACATGACCTGACATGGTAGCAACAGCCAGCGAGTGGCGAGTGAACACATTACTATTTTTCACCCGCTTGCAGCCTGGGCTTTACACTTGATGCTTGAACCTGCAGTTTAGAGCCTGCAGCCTACATTGACATTGCCTACATAGTGACATACTGTAGAAGCGTAGAGTATAGAGCAAGGGCAGCAGAGTAGCAAACCTCGGCCTTAATTGGCTTAGGGCTTAGGCCTAGTCGAGTCAGTCTAATCTAATCATCTTTGTACTCAAGTCACTCAAGTCTAGACTGGGACTGTAGACTCAGACTATGACTGTGACTTACTGACATTCATTTCCGACTGAGACTCTGGACTGTAGACTCTTCGATTTTAGCGACTCGACCCCAATCCACTATCACTAGCAACAGGTGACCAGATGAGTAGACTAGACTTTCAAGGACAAGACTCGACTCAACTATAACTATGACTATGATTAGACTACGCTTAGACTCGACTCGATACTCAATTAGTGACTAGGTTTGAATAGATCAGACTCGCCTCAGCCATGACTACTATAGAGATAAGACTAGATTTAGATTCTATTTAGATTGACTAGATGACTGTGAAGAGACTAGGCTCACTAGATTATACTAGACAGAAATTGTGATTGTGTTACATGTTCACCACAGCGTGAAACATAGAGACACTTCCTTTCTTCCTACCTTCCTTGATTCAATCCTTCACTTTCACTCAGGACTCAATTCTTTATTTGCTTGTTTGCTTCCTTCCTTCTTGGTGGTTTTGGTTTGCGTGGAATCTTTTGGGGTAAAGAAACTTGGATTCATCTCAACCTAGATCTAGGAAATTTGCTAGAGTCTAGCTGACCACCCCACTCCCTGCGGCTGTGGCACCACTTCTTGCCAAGAAGACCAAGACTCTAGACCGAGAAGTCTTAGAGTCTTAGAGCCACAGTCATTGAGACTGAAGATTGCGAGGCAAAGCGAAGTGTAATTTGGCAACACAGGGGGTGGCGCGGACTGGATAAAACATCCTTCAAAAAAGAAGGCCGCAATCTCTTGACTCCAGAAGTTGATTTTGTTTTTTATTGAAGAATGGCGCAAGCCGCTCCAACCTTGAAAAAGAAGGCCGCAACCACCAGAAGTTGACTTTGTTATTTCTATATTCTATTTTTTGAAGAAAGGCAGACATCACCCAAACCGCAATCGACTTTTGTTGTTTTGAAGAAGGGCGCAAGCCGCTCACAGACACAAAGGAACCCAACGGCAATTTTCCAAGACAGAAGGAAAATGTGTACTGATTGGACAAGATTTTTTGTTGAAGGCAAGGTAGACCTGAAGCCCGACACTTGAACAGCTCAGGGCATATCCTTTTTAATTTTTTGTGAGCCACATGCTGGGGGGAAGACGCGGTGGAGAAAGAACGAGTGAGACTGAAATGAACAAAAAATGCGGCTGCAACTCTGTTGTTCGGCGCCAGAGCAGCTGAGCAAGTTCTTATTTTATGTTTGTTTGTTGCTGTGCTGTACTACACAGCAACCAGCTAGCCAAAAAACATTGCAGCTGCTATACACACCAAGCCGCTAAGTCGTCACTAAGTGGCTAGGCTAAATTTTTTTTGTGGCTGTGTTGTTCGGCGACAAACAGCCAAGCAAAGACAATGCCTAGGCCTATGCCTGCTGCTCTGGCAGTAACCAGTAACTGGTCCTGGTATTTAAGCAACAGCAGCTACGCAAATACGATGCCTACTAGCGCTAGCAAACAGATATGAAGTAAACAAAGACTCCACCTGCTGCTCTGCGATTTGGCAGCAAGGAAGTAGGGAATCACACTTGCTGCTTTGCCCACAAACAGGTAAGCAAACTATAATGAATAATGCTTTCTGCTCTGCTACAAAGCAATAAGCCGCCAGCAACTAAGCCAAAGCCTTAAGCCAAAAACATTCATGCTGCACTGCTACCTGCTACCAGGCAGCAAGCAGCAAACAGTTAATCAATCTACACCTGCTGCTCTGCCAGTGGGCAGCAAGCAAGATAAATTAAGTTTACCTTTGTGCCTTTGAACAGCTAATTAAGTTAAGCAACGCAGCCAAACATATACTCACACTGCTCTGCTGCTAGGAAGTAGGAGTATCAGTGAGTAGCGCATACTCATGCTGCTCTGTTTTTTTCTAGCAGGGCAGTACTCAGGGTTTTGCTTAACTTACCTGTTTGCTGCCTGATAGCAGAGGAGTAGAAACAAGACTAAGTAACTAATCCTGCTGCCCTGTTACTCAACAGCAAAGCAAAGACTCCAAAAAAAATTGAACGATCTGCTGCTCTGCTATAGTGAGGCACAAAAATTGCAAACCCTAAACCCTAAACCCTAAACGTTTGTCCGAAAAAACGGGCAGCATTTTGTTTACAGCGACAGTTTCCCATATCCAAGACAAAGGCCTTATAACACCAGAGGTAGCCTGAGTCACCAAACCCTCGGCCAAACCCTCGGCCAAACCCTCGCTAAAGTCTCGCTAAACCCTCGCTCAAGTCTCGCTAAACCCTCGCTAAACCCTCGCTAAAGTCTCGCTAAAGTCTCGCGAAACCCTCGCCGCAACTCTCGCCAAAGTCTCGACCAAAGCCTCGCCAAAGTCTCGCAAAACCCTCGACAGGAGCCTCGCCAAAGTCTCGCAAAACCCTCGGCCAAACCTCATCAAAGTCTCGCAACAAAATTGCCCAAAAGAGTGAGTCAGTTTTGACTCAACTTCTGGTACCTCGACAGTGCCCCAGCCAATCTCGCAGAACTGCGTGACAGGAGTGTGAGGAAAGCTCAACAAAACATTGACCAAAGCTCACCAAAGTCTCGCTAAAGTCTCGCTAAAGTCTCGCCAAAGTCTCGAGCAAAACTCGGCCTATTTTTGCAAAGTTCAGCAAAACTTCGCCCCAACAGGGCATTTTCACACCCGCAGTGGTATCGTGACCGCGCAGTCAAGCAGCAAGATTTCTTCTACTTCGCCGTTACTTCGCCTCACCTCCACCGCGGGCCTACAATTTTTGCAGCCAGACGTTTGAAGAGCAGCCCAGTTTTGATGGCAACTTGGCCCACCTTGCCATACTTCCGACAGCGAGCGACAGTAAAAATACAAACCTCTGGCACATAGTGTAGGCGAAGTTTCCACTTTTTGCTCCTACAAAGTTCCTGCAGGGTGTTTTTTCTCGGGCGCCTAAAGCCTCACAGTCTCAGCCGCCCAGTAGTGTAGTTTCCTTCTCAGACACCTTACTGCCAGAGAGACCAGTAAGTTTGTCACTTAATCTATTGACTCTATTTACTGTTTGGCTGTGCTAGCAGCCTGCCAGCTTGAAATTAGCTAGCAGACTAGCTGACTGACGCAAGGAGACCTGCCTGAGTTTAGGTTTAGGTCTCAAGCAGCCCTATAGCAGATGAGCCCTTACTAGAGCCTAGCAAGCAACCTTGAGCCGAAAAAAACTCATCGGAGAGTTATTAGGTAAATATGTTCTACTCAACTCTTCTTGTTTTTCATCATTCTTTCCTTTAGTTGTTTCAGAGTTTCCCTTAAGCTACACCTGCTGCTTTGCTCTTGGGCAGGCAGCAAGCAAGATGAGTGCAGTTTACCTGTGCTACTACTGTATTTACAAAGCAAAAAAATTAAGGAAACATATATTCATGCTGCTCTGCCAGTAGGAAGCAAACAGTAATTTTCTGTACAGTCTTGTGGCTCTATGCCTTCTTCTCCGCCATTGAATTTTTTCGAACAGCAAAGCATCAAGCAAACACTTTCACTATGCCACTATGCTTGCTGCTGGCTGACGTTGAAAAGACCTGCATCAGGGGAGCAGGTATATTTCTTGCTTGGTTACTTGTTTGTCTGTCTGTTGCGTGGTAGCAGAGGAGCAAACTGTTGATTTCCTTCTGTCAGTGTAGTGTAGTGCAACCACTTGCCTTTCTTTTCCACTCTCTTTATCTTTATATTTTTAGACTGGGTTCAGGTTCACTTCAATAGCTAACAGCTAGCAGTTAGCCAGTTCTAGACTCTACACTCTAGACTCTAGACAAGAATCTAGAATCTAGACTATGAAGCGACCAGCCTAGCCTGGAATGTAACTAGATTCAATTGGATCTTAGGTTTTAGACTAGCTGCTAGCTAGAACTAGTAACCAGTAGATGATGGGATGAGATGTAGCCAGGCCGCACGGTGGAAAACTTTCCAATTGGCTCGGTTTCACAGCTGCAGTGTCTTTGCAGACATGCACAGTGTTGATTGTAGCTTTGCTGCCAGAGCTAGGTCCAGCTAGGTGAGGTAGGCCTAGCTAGCTGGCTGTCTGTCTAACTTCTTGTTTTTAAATCACAGATTCATGAGCGTTTATATTCCCATAGCATAGCAACAAAGAAAATACATGGAGTCTAGGAGTCTAGGTCTAGTCTAGGTCTAGATCTAGGTGCAGGTCTGTACATTATATTTGGTGCGGTCTACACAGGCTTTTTTCCTTTGCCTGTATATTCCAAGATGCTTGCAGTTTGTGTCAACAGGCACTAGAACCTCTAGACTCTAGAGTCTATGGCCAGAACACAGCAGGCAATGACACTGCAAAGTGCAAAGCAATTCGAAGGGTAGCGGCTAGCAGCTACATTGCCGTAAAGAAGCAGACCGAAAAAAGGACTCAGGCTTGAGCTTTAGTTTGGCACCGTTTGGGTTTCAACACTTCAATGTTTTGCCTTACTATGTTTGAACCGGTGTACTTTGTACATTGCGAATATGGCGTCAGCACTTCAACATTTACCCTCTAGTCACTAGTCCTCTAGCAGCTAGCAGCCCATTTCTACCCACTAGTCACTAGTCAGCGATCCTCATCGTCAAAGTCATTGTCCTGGTCCTATCTCATAAGTCGGAGACTTTAGATTGCGCTCTATGTTCTAGACTCTAGACTCAAGATTTGGATAATGACTAGGCTGAACTCAAACAACTTGGAAGTGACAAGCGCCACTGGAAAAAGCACTGCCAAAGGCTTTGCATATTCTTCGAATAGTTGCCATAGCTGATCGACACTTTCAAAACAGGAACACAAAACATCACCTCAAACCAGGCTTGTCATAAACATGTTCTCAGTACATGAAGCACACATGTGTTTGAAGGGCCCACAGGCTGCAGATTCTACAGTTTGAATTGTAAACTTGTAAACTTTGTTAATCACAGTTCATGAATGATACCACCAGAAAAACCACCATAAATTAGGACACTTCTGCACACTGGTTTTGCTTTCTTCTGAAGAGATATCATACATAACTTTTCACGTCAGGTCGATCTCAAGTCTCAACTCCTAACGTTTCATATCTCGTTTTCTCATATTGGATATCAGTGATATACTATATTTTATATCGATGTTGTTGGCTTTTGTCCTTCTCGGCAGGTCTGCAAACCACTCAGTGGGCCAGCAGGGACAACTTCAGGAAAGTGGGAGCAGCAAGCTTCCACAATCCGCTCGACTTTGCCACTTTCTTTGCAGAAGCTGACGCCATGGAGCCCTACTGCACGGATGCAAGGTCTCAGTGGATTGCCCAGGCAGAAGGAGCTTTTGGATGTGGCATATTTGGACACGCAGGCTTGGTTGATGAAGGAAGGACAAGCATCAGAACGGGAGAATGTCATCAGTGGCCTGGTTGCTGATGTCAGCCAGAACATTGGTCGACGACCATGGGGGCTCATTAGAACTTTCACGCGAAGTTCTCAAGTATACTGTTTTGAGAGAGATCGCCTCCTGCTACCTCATGAAAGGTTGCGCTGCCTGGGTTTTCCGGATGTGCAGACCTTGACGAAGGATATGTCTTTTGCTGAGGCATCATCCTTGGTTGGTCAGGCGATGGCAGTCCCTGCAGTCACCATGGCCTGTCTCTGCCTCCTGGTGGCTGCTTGCGAGAAGAATGCATTGGGTGATCTTTGCAACTACCAACCTGGTAGTGGTGCCTCCTTTGCAGCTGCACCGCGCAACCAGCAAGCAGGAGGTTCCTGAAAGTGATCCTGAAAGCATGAGCGTCGTGTCTTTTCATGAAGTGACCTCACCCTGAGAGCATAGTCATAGTGATAGTCCCTGTGTAGTGCTCACAGGCAGCAGTGGGTTTAGCTCATTGCCAGCCTAAAGAGGCCTAAAGCCTAATGACATATGATGCTGAGTCGCTGGACTCTAGTGACTAGTGACTTTAGACTCTAGACTCTAGACTTAGACTTAGACTGTAGACCTAGGGCCTAGAGGTTTGGTTTCCGCTCTCTCCAGATCATTGCACCGGTGTGTGCTAGGTCTGAGCTAACAACTAGGTTAACAAGCACATCATGGCAAAAGAGCTAGCACACCACTGTGAACAGCGCGGCGTTGCATTTTTGGCCGCTTGCTTTCAAGCAGGGCACCGTTGCAAGCAGCAAAGTGACCAAATGATGCGCCCGCCCAGTGTGCTGCAGGCCTTAGAAAAGGGTCACTGGAGAACTTGTACATTGTAGCAAGTGTAGTCACTGCAGCAGTCATGGTCATTGTCCTTTGAAGGCCCCACCTCCTGCGATGAGAATCATGCGTTTGTAACCATCTAAGTATTTCTTCCTGCGGGACTCCAAGCTCCTTGCAATGTTGGTGTTGTTTGTTATTCATTTGGCATTCGCGGCAATGACATTTGCCATAGCAACATTGCTGCATCATGTTTTGTTGCACTTAGCAGCCCCAAGCACCAGGTATTCAAGTTCCTTGGCAAGGACATGACATGTGACATGACGAGCGCAGAAAGTGCGCAGCTCTCAGATTTCAAGACATGGCAGGGCTCATCCTTGATTCGCGCCGAAGAGACTGTCCTACAGCTTTAGAAGTTGTAGAAGGTAAGGCAGGCAAAGTGACTGTGCAACTGGTCCCTAGGCTACCTGACTTGACCGGACCTTTCATTCTTACTCGACAGTTTTGTAGGAGTTGGAACTCTGACAGCACCACTTCAGAGACACTTTCAACTTGTCACATCGACGTAACAGCATTGCCAACTGAGACTGAGACGACCTCAACCAGGGCTCAAGCATTTGTCTGGACTGGACATTGACATTGCCCCTTTTGCAGTGCATCTTGCAACCCTATGACAGACATCTTTGGCGACGAGGCTTCAGCGCCTGGTGACTATTCTGACCTTTTCCAGCCCGCGCCAGGCGAACCAGACCTGGTGGCAGAGCATGCCGACTCTGATCCTGAACAGCTCTTCTCAGACGATGGCAATGATGGCAAGAACAGCAGGGCCCTGTCACCTGAGGCGTATCTCAAGGAGTTGAAGGAAGTTCACAAGGTCACTTGTGAGCTGTGCGACGGAGATTCAAGAAAGGCCAGGCTGTGCCAATCAGAATCCTTCCGGAAATTGTCACTACTTAACTAAGGACCAAGGAGAGTTTAAGTTTACACTTATGGAAAAGTTTTTCAAAAGGCATTGACTCGACATTGACTTACGATAGTCATAGTCATTTAGTATTCCACAGGCCAAGACCAAGGTTTGTTCCAATCGACTTTTGTAGAAATCATAACCAGTCATTTTTCTGTTCATCGCAACCAGAGATTTCTTCACAGGGCTTCCCATCAGGCCCAAGTCAAAGTTTCAAGGATCAGACTAGTGATTAAGATTTGCCCAAATAAGTACAGTACATTACTGGACTCCAACCACAGGGGAATACCTTGAATCCTTGAAAGGAGTGACTAACTTGATTCCTTGGTCCTTGGTCCTTGGTCCTGTAAAGACAAATTTGTTGTCTTTCCATTCGTTGTAATGTGATACGCTGGAAGTACATGTCACATGTCACTGCCCCATCATAGCCATCATTAGTGTCGCCCACGACACTGGGCAGGTAGCTTGGAGCCGCCACCGCGTGATCACATACATGGAACAAAAGCTGTTGATCCCTTGCGGTAACAAATGCCGGCCATGCCATAAGGGAGTTACTGTGAGCTTTCCTGCCATGACTTGGGAGTTGATGTGCAGAATGGTGAAGAGCGACTTGGCTGACTTGGCAAGCTATTCATTGGATGTGCCACAATTTTGTTCCTTAGATGGCCACTTAATGAGACTTTCAGCTTCTGATTATTCATTCATGTTTCCTTCACATGCCCTTGGCCTGTTGTTTCCCAAGGTTGTTGCAATTTTGCATTCGCATACGCAATGATTTCCTTGGTTATGTCGTTGGTGCTGCTACAGCATGTTGGAACAAGTAACATTGTAAAATCAGGAATGAATACCAAGAAACACATAGAGTCTAGAGAACAGGAAAACATTTACCTATGCATTGTGTGATAAATGTGGGCCACGTCATACAGCATCAGTTTGAAAAGCAAAGACTCGCCCACTGCTGCTTCAAAGAGTTCAGTCTCTGACCAACAATCTGCCCAGCGATTCTAGCTAGGACCCCTGCTATAGGACTGCTAGGACCTAGGGCCCAACACCAGGAAACCATCATGCCTCAACCAAGGTTTCTAGTGACTTGATTCACTCCTTCCTGTCCTTCCTTTTCCTTTTTTTCAACATGCATGCACACTCACTGTGCTCGGTCCCGTTAGAGTTAGAGTCACTAGACACTAGTCCATAGCAACTAAGCAACTAGGTCAGGCCTCAGCCCAGGCATCTTTTGGCTCTGACTCTTGACTACTAACTCTAACTCTAACCTAACTGCTGTTTGTTTCAGTAGACCCTTTAGCAGCTTAGCGCCACCAGCTAACCCACCACAACCACACCCAGCCTCGAGCTCCCAGCCGCCCTTGCCCAGGTGACCCAGCGTTTGCCAGCATGTTTTGGAGCGTGCGGGAGCAGGCTGACGCGGCCGTGATCAAGAGCTTTCGAGACCAAGAAGTGGAGATTGTCATGCTCTATGGAAAGCGCCTTGAGGAGAAGCATCCCTTCTTGACACTGGCCCAGTTTGAGTCGTGGTACAGTGCCCCGGCAGAGGAAATTGCGCCAGGGTGTCTGCTCACTGTGAAAGATCAGTCAGGAGCAGATGTCAAAGGTGTCGTGCTGAAGAGCGAAGACAAGAACGCAGAGCGAGTACTTGTCAACTTCGCCGAAGAGGTTCATGTGCACAAGGATTTCCACATGTCCAAAAGCAGCTAAGCAGCTAGGCCCTAGACTAAACTAAGAATGCGATAGCGATAGCCCAGAAGTCCGGTCCTATCCTATCTCCGGTCCTATCTGTCCTATCTATCCGGAGACAGTTTGGTTTGGTAACTGCTTAGCTGCTTAGTCAGTAGTCGCGTCACTTTGTTGGTTTCTAGTCAGTCTTGGCTACAAAGTCACAAGAATATTCACACCCTGTCACAGTCACACTAGCCGCTAGCCTAGCCAAAAGTCTGACTTAGACTCAGACTCAGACTTAGACTCTACTTAGACTTAGACTTATAGTTAGACTCAGACTTGGGATTGTGATTTAGTCAATCTTGCAATCCCATAGTTTCACCCCTCACAAACTCGCAGTTCCCATCCCCAGGACGTGCAATTGGGTCGGCAACATTGTTTTCGCCCAAATCAAGGACTTGACGCGCTACAAGTGCTGCTCAAAGCCAGAGCCAGTTCATGCTCAGCTTTTGGGGACGCCATGACCCACAAGGAGCTGCTCAACAAAGCTGCTACACGCAAGTTGGAGGTGGAGAGAGCTGACTCATTGAAAGCTGAGAACTCCAGCCTGGAGATGTTGCTGAAAGACAGGGTGGAGGAGCCTGAGATTGTAGAGGAGGTAGGGCGCCTGGTGTGCTCTCAACTCTCATCATGATTCATTCATTTCAGTAGCAACCATTTCACAATACAATTTTCACATCAGTGACGATGGATCCGATGGTCACTGATCCAGTCACAGTCACCAGTCCAGTCCAGAGTCCAGAGTCCAGTCACAAGTTGGTCACTGTCACTGGCACTGGCACTGGTCCGATGCTGATCCGATGATCCGATCCCATGGTCTGCTGATCCGATGTCCGATGGTCCAATGGTCAAATTGAATCAAATGTCAAATGGGTCCAATGGCCGATGGCCGGATGACTGACAACCCGATGATCCGACGGTGCTGATCTGTTGATCCGATGATGATAATATGATAATATGATAATATTTTATGATTCAATATGATTCAATGATGAAGTTTCCAGTGTCAGTGGCACAGCCAGCGATCCGATGATTCTGATCCGCTGATCCGATGGCCCGATGGTCTGATGATCCGATGGTCCGATGGCATCGATGGCCCCACGGTGAATCTAGAATCTAGAATCTAGAACCTATATACTCTACTACTACTAAGTAGACTCGACTGTGACTAAGACTTATACTAAGATGACTAAGACTGACTATGACTAAGACTAAGACTTTATACATAATATAAAATTATTTGATGGTCCGATCATCCGGTCCGACGGTTGAGTCTGAGTCTGTTGTTGATCCAATGACCGATGGCCGACGATCCGATGGTCTGCTGATCCTATAGTCTTATAGAGGTCAGATGATGATCCAATTGGTCCGATGACCCGCTGATCCAACGGTGCTGATGCCATGATCCGCACATGAAGACATGAAGAGTATAGTATAGTATAGAGTGTGGGTCGTCAGTCTGAGTATACCAGTTACTATAACAAGGGCCCAGTCAGAAGGTTTCGCACTGTGTTCATGCAATGTTCATTCAATAATAACTCGCACAGGTCACTGGCGCTGGGCTGGCGACAGGAGTCATCCCAGATGACAAGCCGAACAAGCGCCGTGCTTCTGCAACTCAAGAGGCCAGGAAACCCAAACAACAGAAGACGGCTGAAGCTCCTCCTACACTACCTGGCTCCATCCCTCCACCAAAGCCAGAACCCAAGCGTCGGAGGAAGGAGGGTGGTGCTGAGACCACCAAGGCCTACACCAAGGAGCAGACCAAGCTTCAGGAGCATTTGCAGAAAGTTGCCATGATCCCTGTTCTTTCTGGCGACACTTCAAGACAAGACATCTACCAGGCCACCCGCTTCCACAAGGCTCTGGAGAAGAACGCCAAGGATACTGAAGCAGTCCAGCTGGAGATCGCTTTGAACTTGGCAACAAGTGCTGCAGTGCTTGCGCCTGCGGAGGTTTGCAAGCAGAGCCAGGAACAGCTCGCTGCTTCTTGGCAGGCTTTTACCATAGTGCCATGCCATAGCTGCCACAGCTGCCATAGCATAGCCGTAGCCGCCATAGCCATAGCCATAGCTAGAGTCAGCTAGAGTCCAGAGTCTAGGGTCGAGTCACGTCACTAGTCAACTAGTAACTAGTCACTAGTCACTAGTCACTAGTCCACTAGTCACTAGTCACTAGTCACTAGTCAAGTCACGGTCACAGTGCTTTTGACATGTTCGCTTGTTGGTTTGTTACGGTTTGTTCAGCTCACGAGTCAACTGAGTCAACTGTAGCTTCAAGATTCAAGACAAACTGGCAGTGGGCAGCATGTTGCAGTGTTGCCCTTATTTACTTTACTCACTCATTCTTTTCACACTACTTGCTTACTTTACTTGCCGCAACTAGCACCAAGGACCAGGACTCTTGACTCGTGAACCAAAGGTTTGTGACTCGTGACTCGTGACTCGTGATGTCACCATACGTTTGTCAAATGTCATTCATCGTACGTGTCAAAGTCAACGTCACCACAGCCTTGGCCTTGGCATTGCAAGACACGATACCAAGGTCCACGCCAAGGTGGTGGCTGAAGCATTGCAGAAGCAGGGGATCTCGATGGATGAGGTGCCTGTGCGAGTCAAGGTGGGATTGCGCTTGCGCGCCGCAAAGGACGCAGCGCCACAGAAGTTTTGCGACGCCATGCTGCCTTTCGATCGCAGCCGCAACATAGAGCCTTGGGCCTTGAAGGCATGATTTCGATGACTGTTTTTCTTCCATTCTTCAGATTCTAGATTCTAGATTGTAGAGCCTGAGAGCTATAATATTAGATTATCTTTTTTGACTAGCGATTCGAGTCTAAGTCTGAGTCTAAGTCACATCTCAAATGGGAGCTGCGCGTATAGTATTAGTACAGTTAATAGTTGTATTGAGTAACGTGTATATTACACAAATGCAGACACAAACACAGATATGCTATGGTTGCTATGGCTATGGCAATGACAGTAACAGCGTTAACAATTGAATCCGACCAAAGTTGGTCATCCAAACTCAACATTCTTGCTTCAAGACAACACACGAGACTTCATTTTTCCTTGTGTAGTGTAGGACAGGAGGAACTAAGTTGAGGTTTCATGCGCAACATGCAAACTTTGCAATCAACGTTCTTCTTGGGATGGGTGTGGCGCACAAGATTCAAGATCTATTTGCGTGACCGCGTGACATAGACATAGACTTGAATCGACATAGACATAGACTCGACGTAGGAATGCCTTGTGACCAATGGGTCACTGTTTCTGCAGAAATGACAGCCACGTAACATTGACATTGACTGTTTCAAACTCACCAGAAACACAGACCAGTAACAGCAACAGCAACACACAGACTAGACACAATCTGAGGATGACTCCAGTGATGGTCGGGCTTCTGATGTTTTTAGCTTGGAGGCACCTTTGTTGCGCTTGGCTGGCTGCAGCGACGAAGAAGCCATTCGGCACACCGAGAAGGCGTTTGCAGAGCGGTTCATCTCTTTTGTGAGAGACAGCAAAGACGGAGAGTCAAGAGTTACATCCTTGTGCAAAACCATCCTGAACAATTTGGAGCTTTGCACTGTAGAAGGAGGGCACGCTTTCCAGCCTTTGTACAATGACCTTCAGCTTGTTTCCCACGCTTTGTTGGCCATTGTCGGTGGCGAACCTGGCTGCCATCCATCTGATGCCGTGAAGGATTTGCAGAAGGCTTCATGCGCAAACCCAAAGCAGCAGTCCTTGGCTACGATCATCAACGCTGCTTTGACCACAAGTGCGTATTGGCAGGACTGCGTACCCAACAAGTTATCTAGTGACCTAGTGACCTAGGACCTAGGACCTAGTTAGTAATCTAGTTACATTTTTGTTACCGCTCTGGGACCCTGGTCCCTGGTGAAAATTGTTTAGTTTACTTAGTTACTTAGCAGGCGTAGCAGACTTAGTGCACTAGCTTGATTGCCACAAGTTCATTTTTGGTTGTACCACCATGAGCCACGGCAAAGCTATGACTATGAACTTGTTATCTCGTGACTCAGACAAGTGACTAGTGACGTTTAAAACTATCTGAAATCTGAATCTACACTCTACACTGTGTGACAGGCCATAACAATTTCCATAATAGAGGGCCAGGGGAACGAGCGATGCGTTCAGTCCATTTTTTTGCTTCTTGCGGGTTTTGGGGATATAATCTAATCTAAGCAACCCAGCCTGTGTCCTGTGGCAGGAGCAATGCAGGGTCTTTTGGGCATACGCATATGCAGAGCAGACTGCTGAGCCAGAGTTCACGAAGTTCTTGGAGGCCACAGCCAGTGAAGCAGAAGCTCTTCCCAGTCTGGACTTGCTTCAAGACGCGTGCTCCAAGATTCAAGGTTGGACTCAGACACTGCGGCCCAATGCGACACTTCAGCTTGAGCAGAACTTGTTGGACTCTGTGCGGCGTCACAAGGATGAGATGAAGAAGCCAGAGAGCGAGCCCAGGAAAAAGGGGTGCATGAACGCGAAGGATGCACAGGATCTTTGTGGCCTATTGGCTGGAGCGGTGAGCAGCAACACCATCGGCGCTGAGTTCAAGACCTTTTCTACTGAGCTAGAGGCCCTCGCCCAAGAAGATGCAAAAAGGCATAGGCAGGAAACACTTGACAAAGCCTTGGAGACCCTCCTCCTCACTGCGCAAAAAACGATGGGCTCGATGAGGAGTCTGTCAATGCGTTCTTGGACACTGTCCGCACATGCAAAGACTTGCAGTTCTCTGCTTGGTCTGCAGAGGCGGTCAGCTGTTGTCATTGTAATGTTGTATTGTCACGCCGCCATGTCGTTTTTTGGTTTGGACTCTCAATGTTGTAAGAGTTATTAGCGTTTTCAAGAGATGCAATGAGCATGTCGGCGACAGCAAATTACGCATGACAAATGTGTGGATTCCCAGAGTTTTTACTCTGCGCAGTCCTTTCGGCCTGTTCCTCTCCGCCCCGTACAACCCTGATCAGATACCTTCTTCCTTACTCACGACTTGCTCTTTTACAGTCAGTCACTTACTTGCTGCTTACTTACTTTCTTAGTCGTTACAGACGTGCATGCTTACCGCTTAGTACTTGCTCACTTACTTACTGACTTACTTACTCACTGCCTTGCTAACTGCTTACTCAACACACTTACTTTTTTTGATCTTTACAACGCTAGCATGATTGGGGTCGGGAGTCGTGAGTCGCTTTGACTCATGACTTAGACTTAGACTTAATTAGATACTCAGTCCTTACTGGCTTCAGCCCTTCCCGGTTGCAACCTTTGTCTGTTTGTGGTTTTGAGTGCAGACTATGGACTGTTGACTGGTGACACAGGGCCTTTCAGGTCAGTACTAGCAGGATACTGTGGAATCTAGCTAGCTGCTGCAGCAGCCAGCGAGTCCAGCAGTCTAGGACTAAGTCTAAGTCTAGTCTAGTGAATGATGTTTGAGATTTTGGAGACACGCTGTAGCAGCTGTAGCTGCAGACCCTCGACTCGATTCGATGACGGACTCTACCATGCTGTTTCACAAAACCCTCCTCCGGTCCATTGTGTTCCAATAGTCGAGTCAAGTCACTGGTCAGGCTCTTGCAGTGTTCCGCAAGATCGTGAAGCTGGGGTGGTCAGAGCAAACAAGCTCACTTGGCAGCGTTGCCTTCTTGTTGGCCAGCTTTGTCCCAGATACCTTGGAGCGTGAGCAGCATCAGACTGCAAGTGGCCTTTTGAAGTCGAGCATCGAACTTGGCAAAAGCACCGCTGCTTTGAAAGCTTTGGGGGAGTCACCTGAGACACGAGGACAAAGCGCGCAGTGTGGCAAATGCGAGCAAAACTTGCAGGCAGCCTTGGCCAGATGCAACAAGTTCCACAACAAGGCCACGGAGAGCCAGGATGATCTTTGCTACGAGTTCTTGAAGGAGAGTGGGCGCCTAATCGATGAGGGCAACATGATCCTGAAGCTCCAGGCGGAGCACTTCATTGGCCAGGCAGAGCAGGAGGTGAAGAACGCAGTGTCTCAAGTCAGTCCATTGGCAGGCGGTCTGCCCGATGGCAAGAGTTGGAAGGAGGGAATCAAGGACTGCTGTGTCAGCTGCATTTGTCATTTGTAGACTCTATCAACAGGGACCACATATGTAAACATATGTTTGTTTGGCAAAAAGCCAACAAGCTAACCTTAGCCGAGCCTTGGCCTTAGCCTTAGCCATGCTCAGCCACTATTGATTTCAGCACCCCTTGAGCAACAATAGCTGATAGCTATTTGTTGTCATCAGATTCAGGCTCACCTCAGCTAGCTAGACTCTAATCTAGAGTCTAGAGTCTAGAGACATTGCAACGATGACTAGTACTACGGACTATGACATACGACTATGACTAGGACCAGGACCAGGAGTCTAGGTCACCTCGCCAGCACAGGTGCACCGTATTTTTTGTTTGTTCAACTGAGTAGTAGAGTAGTTGGTCGGTATTTGCAGTGTTTTGTATGAGCAAAACGAGTAACGAGGGGAGGTTTCCAACCAGACATATCGCCTGGCACTAGTAACTAGAATCAGAACCAATGTTGTTTTTTGTTGATCTTCCATACACGCAAACAAACACCTTCACTTTCCTTCCACCAGACTCCAGACCCAGAGATGTTGAACTCCATCGCTTTTGCGCTGGAAGGTAAGAGGCCATTGCTTGTAATTGTAGGTAGGAGGCCATCACTTGCAGGTTGGGGCCATCGCTTGTAGCCACTTGTAGGTTGGAGGCAATCGGTTATATTATTGACGTGTAGTAACTACTAGGTCACTAGGTCTAGGTTACTAGGTCCTAGGTCCTAGGTTTAGGTTGGAGGCCATCGCTTGTAGGTAGGAGGCCACCGCTTGTAGGTTAGGCCCGCACTTGTAGGTTGAGGCCGAGGCCATTGCTTTTAGGTTGGAGCCATCGTTTGTCACTTGTAGGAGGCCATTGCTTGACTAGTGACTAGTGACTATAGTGACTAGTGTAGGTCTAGGTCTAGGTCCTGTAGGTAGCCTATCAACGGACAAGCCGACAGCTTTTTGTGCCATGTGCCTGACAAGTAGTGACATGGCAGACTCATGGTTGGCCGCGAAGACAAAAGGGCCCAACACAACAGATTCAACCATAATAGATTCAATAGATTCAAGATTCTAGATGTATTTTTGATTCTTGATTACCTTCATGCGTCTGCTTTCCAGCCAGGATGCGGACATTGTGGAGCAGGCCAAGAAATGGGTCCCACAATTTGACAAATTGGTCGAGAAACCGATTACAGAACATTGGAAGAAGTTGAAAGCAGCTCTTGCAGACACAGCCACTATGAGCAGCAGATTTGGGCGAGATCCTTCTCAAAGTCCAGCCTACACTTCCGGCAAGGAGCTCTTGGACCAGGCCATGGTGATGGTTAGCGAGGCTCTTTTGACAAAGGCTTTGCTGTCCGAAGACCCAGCCGGACAAGTGTCCATGCAGTTGAGGCGAATGTCAGCCAACAAAGTCGGCACGATCGCACAAGCGCTCATGATAGAGTGCAACCAAGTGGTGACAAGGCGGGCAGACAAAGGTTCTCGTAAAAAATGAGCCGCTGAGCCATGACGTGACGGTGACTATGACTATGACTGCATCCTCAGGTCCTCAGGGGTTTACGCGTCATTGAGTCCTCTTGGGCTTGTGGACTCTTAGACTCTTAGACTCTGAGACTTAGACTCTTAGACTTGAGTTGAGACAGTTTGCCATCCTTCTTCAAAACCAGCCCTGCCCTGAACAAAGCTACTCAACCCTGTTCCTTTTTCAGCGCGGGACCCAGGATGATAGAGTGAGTGTTATTTATTTTCAATGGACAAGGATGGTCAGCTGTTCGGGGTGCAGTGAAACTCTTCACCGGTGACTTGGTCTTGCCTGGCAATGCCGGGCCCAGGCCATGGGATGCCTAGGATTTTCCTGAGGCCAGGGGGTGTCAGCATCGCAGAGATCCCAAGTGGCATGACAAGGTCATGCGGCACGCGTCAACAAGCTAACTCATTTCACGTCCTACCTACATTTACATCAATAATCACCCGTAATCAATCATAAGTCATAAGTCATAAGTCATAAGATCCTAGGTCGTAGTTGGGTCTCCCAGTCGCCCAGTCTATGGAACTAATTGTCTACTGAGTCTACTGTCTACATTCTTGGACATAGCCATAGCCATAGCCATTCACAGTTGTTTGTCAGTCACATTGTGCAACTGTCATTTTTTACGCAAAACATATTTACCATGCGCATTTTTATCAAGCGTAATTTCAATGTTATAACTTTTGGGGTGGTCCGCACTTGCAGTTCGCATTGAACGAGTTTTTGCAGTTTTTGGTCTTTTCCAACACACATGGAGTCGTAAGGCCACATACATACATGTCCCTGGCAAAAAAAGGGGTGTGATGGAATGGCGCAGACAGCCAAAAGCAGCTAGCAGCTAGCAGACCTTTTTTTAAGGTGGTCCTGGGTCGTTTCTTTTTGTTGTAGAAACTCAACGAAACAGCACATGTACCCATTTAAGGCCGGCAGTTCGCATCTTTTATAGGGAGTTCATTTGGTGTGTCATGTTCTGTTAACACTGTTAAGAGAGCCAGCCAAGATCCCACACACCTAATCGCAAGCCTCATGACCATGACAACGACATTTCACTGGCTGATGCGAAGTGACATAGAAACACAAGAAACATGTAATGTAAGGTGTGGCGCGGTAAATCAACACATCGCAGTATACTGCTAAAAAACTACGGTGGTGGACATGGGATTGGGCTGTTGGACAAGTTGGCGAACCTGTGCAGCATCTGACTCCTCAAGAATGAAGTATACATCATGTCATATGTCATGTGTTACGCACAAATTTGCTCAGGTAGAGTGTAGTGTAGCGTAGAGTGTAGTCGGGTTTCAACTTGGAGCACTGCCTGCTTGCCAAGGCAGCTGCAGGCTGAAGCCGCGGTTCTGTTTTGTGGCAAATAAGACACAAGTGCCACCGTGCATGGAAGAAACATATAGAATGAATCTAGTGGAACATTGTAACGTGTGCTCGCATAGTCATAGTCATAGTCGTAGTCACAAAAGAACTTAGTGACTTAGTAGGCAAAACAGCTTGAGTTCCACTTCTCACTTCTCACCTCTTGGGGGAGATGCTGCGGTGATGATACCAAACCCTGGAGTTTTGGCAGCAACTGAGCGAAGATGCTAGTCGCGAGAAACTAGCTTAGCTGCGCTCAACCCAGAGATGCGTTCCACATGCTCATGGAGTCATGGAACAACCAGGCCTGTAGTGACTAACTAGTAACTAGTAACTAGCGGCAACCAGCCGACTAGCCTAGCCGGCCATTGGTCAACCCACTCATGACTCACGCCGAGTAACTAACTAACTGACTAACTAACTAACGAAAGCTAACTAACTAACTAGAGTAACGAGTACTAGAGTTACTAGAGTCACTAGTTAACTAGTTACTAGAACCGGAACCGTAACCAGAGTAACTGAGCCTCCAAATTTCACTCGTTTGTTAGTTTGTTGTCGAAACATGGCAGGCCATGAGATTCTATAAACTCGCTCGCATCATGCTAGTGTAGTGTAGACTGTATGTAGACTCTAGTAACTCAGAAACCAAGTCAAGCCTAACTGCTAACTACATGACTAAACTAAACCAAGTCACAAGACAACTACGTCTATTCATTACTCCACAATGACTTCAGAGAGCCACCCTCTACACTACAAATCTTGGGGCATGGCGTCAAAGCCATAGATCCCCGCAACAACCTGTCAAACAGACTTTTGATTACCTCTGAAGCCACAATACTCACCCAGTGCTCCCGAAGAGTATGAACTCCCTGACTGTTGTTTTTGCACCTCTTTGTCAGAAGCAAAGCTTGTGGCATTCATTGCAGCAGAAAGAAAGCTCCATGAAAGTGGCGCGGTGACATGCCCGCACAGGGCAGTAGTGGTAGAGTTTTCGAGTCTTAGAGCCAACCTTGGTCTTCAATCTGCAGTGGCTGCAGGGTGCTGTAGGTTTCTTACAAGGCAGGGCAGAAAGCAGACACACTTATATGATGAACGGTTACTTTTATTGTTGCAGTTATTTGTTTGTTGTCTGCATTTGGATTGCCCAAAGCTTAGGATCTAGGATGCCACGAAGCGCCATATTAAGGCCTTGTATTGTAACATAGAACAAAATTGAAAGCAACCAGACCCTGCACTCAGCCACAGAGCAGGAAGACTGTGACTTTGACTTTGGCAATCTTGTGAGACCGTAGCAGGGCACTAGCCAAAAATAGACAGGCCGCCTTACAACCTGTTTAACCCATATTGCAACTTTTCAGTAACCATTCGACGCATGATGAACAAACCTCAGGTCTTTTGACTTAGACTTAGACTTTGACATTGTGTCCCAGTGTTTGTTACAGTATCGTCAGCAAACCACATGTGTTAGTGATTCTACAAACCTAACAGACTATCAGGGCATGGACTCATAGAGTCTTAGAGCATAGATGGCATAGACAAGTGGCTATGACTACAATACAACAACGCAACGATGTACAACGACCTTTTCATGGGCTTTGAATTCGGGCCGAGAAGAGTTGGCAGAAATTACTTTGCGGTGCCCAGGTCAGGTTGGACCCTGAGAGAATGGAGAAGCTTGTGGCCGGAGCCTTCCAGCGCATGAAGGGCATTCTCACATGGAGTCATTGTGAGTGTGGGCGCGGCTTGCTGTAGCACTGTAACTGTAGCAGCAGCTGTAGCAGCTTTTGAAAACCTATGGTTCTTGTGGCCTGCCAGTGAGCCGTGTTTTTCACCAGATTTGTTTTCTTGAATCAATTTGGCCCAGGCTTGGAAGCGCCGCATTCTATTACAGATGCCATCTGCCAGACGCCAGGTTCAAGACTCTAGACTCTAGACTCCGACTCGGACGATTTGGGTTTGAGCTTGCTGTGAGCAGTCGCAGTCATTAGGTCCTAGGTCCTAGGTCGCCAGGTGTAAGTGTAGGTAGGCCCAGGTTCAAACAGAGCGCCTTTTGTAATCTCGCACTCGTAGTCTCGCGCCGTGCGCCTGGAGTGCAGATATCAGATATTATTCCTAGCTGTTGCCTTTCCAAGTCAAAGTCACAGTCATGGTCCAAGTCCAAGTTGGGTGTGCCTGGGCAATGACGGCAATGACACCATGACAGTGTGTTTTGCAGAGTTTTCCTTTCAACCATCATTTCGGTGGCCTACTGAAAAGAGTTGGGAGAGCTGCTGAAGCGCACACTGCAGCAGCAGAACCTACCCATCAGGGAGCGGGCAACTAGCAACTTGTGTGCTAAGGTTGCTTGCCTAATCTGCTCCAGATCCATAAAAAAAAGACTGCTAATGTTGTTTCTAGTCATTAGGCCCACCACTGCAAGGCAGTTTACCATTCTGTTTGCCTGACCTGTATAGCAGCAAGTATAGAGTTATAGAGTAAGGACAGCTGCCTGGAAAACTTACAGATTTAGGTGGCAAGACTCTAAAACCAATGGCTGGTTCCGATGTGGGCTACACAATCAATAACGAGTGGAAATCACTCCAGTGATCGTGATCAAAAGTAAATGCGCAGGTGCTTGAGCTGTGCATGGTTAGGCTGACAGCAGCTGTGAGTATCACAAGTCAGTCAAGTCAAGTTTCCATGTTAAAAAACAAAGCCTTCCTTGCAGCCTCACACCCGACAGTCTCTCATGAATCTAGGGAGTCTATATATGTTTTGGTTTTGACTGGGTCCTTAAGTGGGGTTCAATTTAATTAAAACAAGTCGTAAGCCCTGGTCACCCGTTTCAGCCCTGCCATGTTACATGGGCATGTTAGCTGTTAGCGTGTTTAACATTTGGCATCCCACATTATTTGGCGCCCCACGCCACAAAGCAAGTGTTGATCTGTGTTATGTTAGATTAGATTCGGTCTGTTGTGATTCGATGCTGTGCAACGAAACAATTTCAAAACAGTTCCCTTCAGGGAACCACAGCTCTTCCACCATCCGTTGTGGTCAGTGCCAAAGGCATAGGCGTAGGCCATTCAGGATATGAATCTCTATCCCATCCCTGTCTTAAGTCTTAAGACCTTCTGCCGGTTTTGAGGCCCCAACGCACGCACTGCAGCCAAGCAAAGAGCTACTTGAAGCGCTCAGGTTTGGGGGCTGCAGAGAAAGGCACAGTGACATGACAGAAGGACGGGTAACAAACCAGGGGGATGATCTTATGTTCCTTCTTCGACCGCTTGCTTGTGGGTTCATTGCGAGTTGCGTGGGGTTGGTGGACAGCTACAGACAGCTACGCGGCTACACACCGGAAAGTTGCGTTGCAGCAGATGTTCCCCGGACAAGACACCGCAAGCCTGCCAAGCAACGCAAAACAGTTTCCAATTTGACACTGGACACAGGATGGCATATGACTTCTCAACTTCTCAATTCAATACAATGACAATGACTGTAACTGTGAATACGTGAATGCGTCACTATGTCATGGCATGTCACGTCTATGACAGACCCATGGACCTATGACATATGAGTGACTACGTGCTGGCTG